CATCGGAGCGGACAGCGTTTCTCGGGATTGGGAACCCCAATATTTCTGGTAAAAAGCTAAAATCGATCTATCGGAGAGAAAAAACGCATAACGCCGTGCCGGCGGTCTAAGTTCAGAGCGCGGTATAATACCTCAGTCGTGTTCAGGAATGCTGCCGGGGACGCACGAGCTGTAAATGACCATCGCGACAATGAAGAGTCAAAAGTACGACAGAGATCGCCGGGCAAAAGCAATATTTTACTCACCTGGCGCTCACGCTGTTCACCCAAATGCGAAAAACCGACTGAGGAAGTGCGCCGAACGAAGGGCGACAAGGAATCACTCCGACAACTGTGCGTTTTGCCTAACTCGATATATCGCCTTGACGTAGAGCGGACTTCGAATACGCTGCAATGTCACCGGCCGTGGCGGGTGGGCTTTCCTCGAAACTTGGCAGTATGTTACCGCGTCGTGCTTGGTTGGCGAGGGTTAGAGACTCGAATATGAGGATCGAAGGTGGTGGGGACGAGAGCAAGCAGCTTTCCGTCCGGCTTTCGTCCAAACTTGGCCATGAGTGCATCGTTGACCGTGAGGGAAACGAATCGGTCGCGGCTGTCACCGAACTGGCAGCCAGCCGAAGGAGGCGAGACGAGGCAAAAACGAAGATGAAGAAATAGTAGAGGCAGCCAAGCCGAGGTATCGCGAAACGACGTGAGGTGAAGTGTGCAAAGCAGCAAAAACAGCCATCGCCAGCCGACGTACAAAAATCAGCCCGGCTCTTACTCCAATGATAATAATAAGCGGTTGTGTGAAAAACCAGTCGCAAACTCACGCTGGGTCCGTCGCCGCCAGTCCACCCACCGACCGACCGACAGACTACGGCGACACACCAACAGACCGCTGAAGCGCGAGGTGGCTGTGGTGGCGAGTGATTCGATTCGAGTCGAGTGAGTCCAGTCAGTCCGCGTCGTCGTCGCCGCAAAATGTGCTGCATTTGCGAATTCGAGTTCGATTTTTTTGTCCCCTCCTCCGCCGCCAACTCGCGTCGGTTGCCACCGGTGGCACCGGTCGTTACGACGCTTTCGATCGACCGGCCACCGACGACGGGAGGAGGCGAAAAACGCTCGCCGCTGACGCATGTGCTTTTGCCTGTCTTTTTCCATTGTCCTTTTTTACCGCTGTCCCTTGCCCCCCCCCCTCAACCAGCCTAGGCAGCGGCTGACCACCGGATACCGATCCCTCGGCGATCATTCAGCTCATGAATCACACAGGCGGCTCATAAGCAACCTCCAATTGCTGTTGCTGGTCGCGACCAGACGTCATATGAAATAAAACGACGAATGCACACCGCTCTTAACAAAAGGTGACGCTCGGTGCCGTTGGCCGTTTCTTTCTGCCGGAGGAAAAAGCGTTGTTCGCAGTGGCACGACCGTATCGGGCATCGTCGCCATGGCTGTCACTTTTGGTGCTTTGTACCCGGGTCGCATTTGGGTCAACGGCCGGCAACGTTGTTCTATAAAAAAGCCACTTACGACACATGGGCCCGGTCGACGGTGGTCGCGTCGCTGCATACCTCGCTTTCTTCCTTTCTTCCGTTTCCAGGCTGGACGCAACAGGACGGATCGGCGTTGAACGACCTGGCGCCCGACAGCCGCCATCTGGCCCCCATAAAATGTGCAAAAACTAGCCACCAGCGAAAAATTTCACTCCACGCCCGGGAGGCAAAATTTTGTGCGACGCTCGCTCGCTGGCTCGCTCGCGTTCGTGTCACATGCTTTTTCGTCTCCCCCCAAAATGAACCGACTCATCACACGATACGGAAGTTATACAGATTGATCATGGCTGTGGCGCTTAACACAGATCTGTCACAGATCCATCCACGTGCAAGAAGAGCACAGGCAGCGG